ATGGAAATAGTGTTAGAACTCACATTAAACAGAGGGTGAGTACCATCAAAAGGACTGTTTCCTTTCTAGGACCTGATCAGTAAATCCTTAAGTAAACAGCATGTAACGTATTGCTCTTGTTCAAAGAGACTTGCAGGTAATCTTTTCAGCTGCTCACTCCTGTCCAAACATCACAGATGTCGGTGACTGGGAAATACATGATCAGACTATAACAGATTAAATATCTGGGAGGCGTTAAGCTTGAAGAAGGCCTTAGATGATGTTCGAGGACTTGCAGGTGTTTCCTTCATTACAAAAAAATTAAAACATAGTAATAGGTCTAGTCTGGTTCCAACTGAATAGACTGCAGGGGAAAAGCAATTATAATCTGAAGCATCTTAAGTGTTGCAAGTTTTACTAGTTCAGCTTTTTATAGGCTCTTAGGGTTCCTTCGGTTGGTTGTTGCAGAGAAAATTTCTTGTTAATTTTGTCTGGGTCTTTCCTTTTCTCCATTTAACTTGTCCAATTTTTTATCTTTGTTTTAAACATTGCTTAAAAGTAAGGAGCAAACCTTTGCTTATTCTTTATTTTAGAAGTCTTTCTTATTGGCCTGTTAATGCTTCCTGCTGTATTTGTGTTCTGAGGCAATTATTATTGAGTGCTGGAATGGTTAAATAATCTTTGCACTGCTTATTAGCATCAATTTCCTTCAGTCTATCACTTAATGTACTAGTGAAATTCCTCTCCTTGCTAAGTTAAGATCTTGTTCTTTTTTTAACCCCGTTAATTACAAGCTTAATTAAGTCTTGAAAAGAATCCTAAACTGCAGTTGCCATTACCTCTGCTTTTTTCAAAACTTCGCTTGACGTGGAAGATGTATCTGTCACTCTTAACACTCTATGAGGGAATGAGAATGCATAATTCTGAAAAATCTTTCTCATTGTTTATAGAGCAGTGTTTTCTGCAGGTGGCAGGTTATGAGAAGCCCATCTGGTATCTGAACAGCTTTCCTCATGCCTTTGATATTATTACATTTGGTTTATGTGTAACTCATATTTCTAGAACCAAACCCAACCCTTTTTTCTTTAACTGATCAATATTTCATATCTTTCTTTTATCATGACCTACCTACTTCTATTTCAGGGCTGTTTGCTACTTAGTTTTTTATAGGAAACATCTTATCAAATCTGATATCAGTATAGGCTGCATTTGCTATATAATGTTGGTCGCACTCCAAAGAGGTGTTACATGAAGCTGTTTGCTCTGATGTTTCAAACTTGTTGACCAACTTTTGTATTGGTTCTCTCACAATGGTTGTTTTTAACTGTCAATCCATACAGTTTTTTGACTTCCCTGAAAAAAGTATGGAGCACAACCAACTTCCCTCCATTCCAATGTTAAAGATAGTTACTATATTGGCCCTAAGTTAGCCTGTCTGAGAAGAAATTATATTACCCAGCTAAGAGTTCATTATTCCAGGAGGTATTTTCAAAGCCCTTGCTGCTGTGTATATAGGTTGAGTTTAATCTTGATCTACAAGCCACTCAAGTGGCTGTCTAGAGTAGGTCATAGAATCAGAGGATGGTTTGGGTTAAAAGGGACCTTTCAAGACGATCTAGTTCTTCCCTCCTGCCATGGATAAGGATACCTTCCACTGGACCAGGTTGCTCAAAGCCCCAGGTTGTTAAAACTACCTGGACTTGAACTCTTAAAATGATGGGGCTTCCACAGCTCAGGGAAATTGTTCCAGTACCTCATCACCTTCATGGTAAAAAATTCCCTCTTTAAGTCCAATCAGAATCTACCCTCTTTTAGTTTAAAAATGTTGACCTTTCTACTTCAAAAACTAAACAGGTCTTGGTAAAAAGTCTTTCCTAATCTTCTAAGCCACCTTTATATGTTAAAGGCTGCTCTCCCTGGAGCCTTCTGCAGGCTGAATCACCCCAGCTCTCTCTGCCTGTCTTTGCCCATAGAAGAGGGTGCTCTATCCCTCTGACCATCTTCATGGCCCTCCTCCGAGCTGTCTTCAACAGGTCCATGTCCTTCTCTTGGGGACCCCAGAGCTGTACACCCCTCGCCAGGTGGGGTCTCACCAGAGCAGAATAGAGGGGCAAAATTCCCTCCATCAGCCTGCTGGCCATGCTGCTTTTGATGCAGCCCAGGGTACAAGCATATTGTTGACTCATGTCCAATTTTTCTTGCACCAGTACCCCCAAGTCATTTTCTGCTGGGCTGTTCCCAATCCATTCATCCCCTAGCCTGCATTGGTAGTGGGGATTGTCCCAGCTCCAGTGTAAGACCTTGTGTTTAGCCTTGTTGAACTTCATGAGGTTAAGATGATGCTAGTGATAAGACCTGTCAGAACAGCTGCTTACTCTTGCTGAACCTTGGCAGGGGGAGTAGAGGGGTCGTTTTTTGCTGCAGAAACTATGGTGCCCTCTGAAAAGAGTGCAAAAGAAATTACAGAAATGTAAAAGGCACTTGTGTTCCTGAGAGTGTTTTGTAAGACTTTAATAAGGGAATTTAAGCTGTTATATCTTAATCATTTTTATTATTTGCATACCTCTGCAGTAACATGGGAATTAAAATAAATGCCCTTGATGATTTGCAAGAGACAGTGGGATTCCTTTCACTCTGCAGTGTTATTTGCATATGTATTTTTTTCAGGGTTATGCAGAACGTGTTTAAACTTCTACTGGTGTAAAATGTTGTGGGAGGTAAACTTGCAGCCAGTATGTAAACTTGCAGTTTGTTTTAGGCCAATGTTATTTTATATATACTTCTGAGAAGTCAATAACTGTATGAATGTAATATTAATCCATTAATCCATGTAATATTATTGGGTTGCTGTTTATTTGAGTTGCTATTGTTGGGTTGCTCTTTACTTAAAACCAGTTGAAAAAAACAAACTTGAGATCTTCTATCTGTTTGGTTTTCTTCAGCATTTGGACTAATGCTCTCAGTTGGCTTGCTAGCCATGCCTATTCATGAATTCACCAGTTGGCATTGTTAGATTAGCTGCTGACAGGTATTTTTTAAATTCTGTATACCTGAAGTACTTACAGTGTAAGAATTCAGGAGAGCTGTGTAGTGCAGTTGTTTATACCATGAATTTAATGTTGGTCTGAATTTCCATTGAAGTGATGGTAATTGTGTGTTTTGAGGAATGTCATTCTCCATTTAAAATGAATTTGAAGATATTCAGATGTTTCCTCAGTTTACTCTCTGTTAAGACTATGTTTTCATCATAAGAAGATCTTTTCACTGGAAAGGCATCTGAGGTTCATAGGCTTTGGAATTGAAGTTTGGTGATCCAGGGGTCTCTTACAGGGAGAGATTTGTTGTATGAACTATAGAAAGCGGCCTTCCTTTAGACCTTATGGCTTAGATACAAATTGGAGAAGAAGAATGTATATAAGAAGGCAGTGGGCAGACAATGCATTTCTGTACTGATGTTTTGTACCAGAACAAAATATTCTTATATCTCATAGCAGTTCTTCCATAGGGTAGCACTGTTCTCAGGTTTTTTGGCTTTTTTATTTTTCTTGTGTGTGCAAAGTGCTTGCTCTATGAAGTGTTGATATTTCCCATTGCAAAGAGTTTAATACTGAACACCTGGCTAAACCAGCTCCTGGCATTGAAAACCAGCCTCAGCAAGGTGTTAAACAACACTTTTTTTTTCCTCCAGAAAGACAGCTTGGATATCTGGAGGGTAAACCCTCCATCATGAAGCAGAACAGTTCCTACATTGCTTCCTGCTATGTCCTTCAATTTGTAGTGAGCATTACAAGTGCAGTTTGTATGCTGTCCCACCACAGGCTTGACTGGTGAATGAGTGAATGATGATTTATGTCTTGTTGAGGAATGGCAAAGACATCTGTGATCAAGCTGATATAGCTAAGATGTTCAGACACTTAAATAATTCATGTAATTTTGAGATTCTCTAAACAGACATCTTTGAGCTTCTGGGGATGTGGCTTACTGTGGAGTTCTGTGGGTTTTTTAAACTATACTCCTGCTGAAAGGAGTGCTTCTGCCCATCTTTCCTCAGGTTGGACTCTTTCCCTTTTGCCACCAAAAAATATTCATGAAGCTATGCAGTGAACCAGGCTGGGGACCTGATTATGGGGAAAACTAAAACAAGCATCACCTTCTCCACAACTGAGGTTTTACCCACATCAGATAAATTAATTGCAAATATGAGCATGGGTGACAAGGACAGTCAGGACTATTTTTGTTGGGTTTTTATGCTGGTTTAGGGTGTTTCAAACTACAGAGTTTAATTTCTCTCCTGCCTCTCACTAGAAAAGAATTGTAGCAAAAAATGTAAAGCTCAGGTTTTTAATGAAGTTTATAGTTAGTTAATTGTGAGTTGCTTACTGTTCTCATGTTTACCTGATGCCTTGGTTCAGAAGCTGCTCCTGCAATCCTGCCTTTTTCCTCTGTGAGGGAAAATGATCTCTTTGTTTCCTTGTGTTTGGTGTTTTGGACAAATCTTCAGTCTCCTGCAGCCTGCATGCAGCTGATCGCCAGGCTGTGATCTGAGAGGGAATGCATAGCACTTTGCAGTGGGTAGAAAAGCCAACTGGGGAGCTCAAAATAGGAATGTCCTCACAAATTGTTTTACTGATAACTTGTATCAAAATAGCAACCTTTTTCTGAATTCTAGGAAACGTGTAATTGAGGCTTTTTAAGTTATGAGTATGGTGGATATTTTAATGGGGGAAGGGCTATGTGAAAGGCTGTTGAGACCCAGAGCAGCTTATTTTAATACTACAAATGGGAGGGGAATAAAAGTAAAAGTCTCTCTTTTCATTTGAGATAAACTGAGCAGATGAGCAACCTTAATTACACTTCAATTTTTTTTTCATTCTCTGGAAAGTTAAATGATACTCATGACACAGCACAAAACTAAGTTTTATTAGCAAAGTACTGTAAAAATCTATTATTGAGTTTAATTCAAAACTTGCATTTAGTATGAAAGTTGAAATGTTCTAATAAATAATTATTCTTGTTTGCAGATAACTACTCTTATTAATCATAAGGATAAACCAAAGCGTTCAGACAAGACTCTGCAAGCAATCCAGCGAGTGGGCCAGGCTGTTAACCTGGCAGTTGGGAGATTTGTTACTGTGGGTGAAGCCATAGCCAATGAAAACCATGAATTAAAGGAGGAAATGAGTGTTGCTTGCATCGAGGCAAGGAGAGCAGGTATGTAGTTACTCATGAAATTGTACTTGTGCCATTTTTGGCACACTATTTTTAGTGTCAGGCATAATGTAAGAACTTTATTATTTAATTGCTTAACCTTCCTCTGCTGGTTCATTCAAGGCTTGATCTGTTACCTGATTTTGTCACTTACTTAAATTGCTGTCATCTTACTAATAGGGAATGGAATTGTGTGTTGGCTTTGATTTTTATAGGATCATTTGCCTCAAGGGATTACCTGACTGCTATTTTTTTATGATGTTACTACAGACAAAGAGCAGAGTGTTGGGAATGCAACTTTAGAGTTTATTGCTGCCAAGTTAAAAAAGTGGAGTATTTAAAGTTATTTAAGTGTTATACTACTGTGGTCATTGCATTCCAAATCTCAGTGTCTGAATGAAGGTCAGTGTCAACCCATATTTCATCAGGACTCAGTAAGATGACTCACATCAGTCATCTGATGACTCCACTCACTAGAATGAAAATCATACTATGCTTGCCTTTTTGCTGGATTCAAGTTTCGTTGCAAACTTGCTGTGTGTAAGAATTGAATGTGAAGTGTGGATAATTGAGTTGCCTGCTGTCACTCTCCTTCTGCCAGGAGACTCTATTTAGGCAAACAGGGGATTGCATTCTCTGATGCTGTAAGACAATGTCAGTGTCGTGCTAAAAACTGCTTTCCTAGATACTAAATACTGTTGCTTGCATAATATTTCAGTGGCCCTCAGTAAATGCATATTTTTAAATCTGCAGTGTAGGCTTTGAAATGACATCTAGTAGAATGTTCCTTTTGTTGTTAGTGGGGTGAGGTTTTGTTTTTGTTTTCAAATACTTTTGGATTATGGGAAATGCTACTTGAAGCTTTTCCAGTTTGAGCAGGTGGATGACCCTGCAAGTGTGATACACATTCTACTTGCTCTGGCCACAGGGAGACAATCTTGAGCTTCTGTTGTGGGGACAAATAAATGACCCTTCAACAACCTTTCAACATTAATATCTTGCTTACTGTAGGATGGAGCAATATTCTACTCCAAGATGTGGGTTACTGTACTTGAAACTGATCTGTTAAGTTAAAAAGGGGGCTTGGGTGGCTGTTTGGTTTTTATCTTTGAAATTACTTCAGAGTCCTGAAGAGCTTGTCTTTGGTGACCTAACTGGTGTATGTCTTGTTGGATCGCTGTTCTGGCCTCAGACTTTGGGGATGCAGTTCATACTATTACTTGTGATTAAATGAAAAAAGAAGCTTAGAAATTGGGTATGGTGCTGTAAGAAATCCTCTGAAAATCTCTCAACAATGAGTTACAATGTCTAGAAACACTCTGATGATGAATGATTGTTCTTGGGATTTGAAGGACTGTTCTGGATAAACCTTAGATTGAAAATTCCTAGTTGCTCCAGTAAACTTGGCTGCAAACAGAAATGTCCTAATTTAAAAACATTCCAATTATATGTGAAGCATGTGTTTTCTCTTCAGAGATCCAAGTAAAATGCTGACAAGCCAAAACTGCCAAAGTTCACATCAATAATCAGCTGCTGGAAGAGCAGTGCAGTCTGAATCTGTTTCTTGACTTGCTAGTTATGCTGTGGTTAAGTATTTTTTTCTCCCTATCACTGTATGCAGGAGGAGCTCAGAACCTAAAAATAGTCTGTGATACTTTATTCCAGCAAAAGACTATAGTTCTTTTGTATTGAAAGTTTTATTTCCTGTTATGCAGTAACAGCCTCAGTCTAGAGGAGTGAAGATACGGCTTGTTTGCATTTCTGTCAGCCTCACGTTTATTTTGGCATGGCTCAGTTGTTCATTGCATTTGAGATCTAACAGCTTACATGGGAAATCCACTATAGCAAACATGTTTGCTCCTGGTTATTTTTTTGATGGAGGGTTTTATGTGCTAGTTGTATCTCTGTGGACTGTTCAGTGGTGGACAAAGTAATATAGTCCTTTGAGCAGATAAATTCTTATGGCTAAATGTTGTCTGAACTCAGTTTCTCAACAAGGTAACCCAAGTGCCATTTTTAATAACTTTGGTGTTCCCAAGCAAGCAAAAAAAAAAATTCCTGGACAATTACAGCCAAGAATATTGACCATATTAATAAACCCTATGTTCTGAGGGCATAGGCAGTAGAAAGCCTTTACTCATTAGGGCAGGGAATCTGGTAGAGCTGTTCATACTTCTTTTTAGCCAATAAATTAGATTGTGTCTTAGGAATGGAGATTTTGCAAGGCATAAAAGATTTAAACACAAAAGGATTTAGAACATTAAGCATCTCAATTTCTGAAAAATGTAGGGAGTCTTTAAATCAATTGCATATTCTGCAGAGGCTTTGAAGGATGACAGATGTTGTATCTGTTTCTTGAGAAGGGTATAATGAGTGATTTGAAATGTTTCAGACTTGTTATGACTATTTGCTTGTAACAAACCTTGTAATTTGATTGACTCAAAATAGAATCCTAAAACACTGCAGAGGGTCATGTAGCAGATTTTGGGTTACATTATTCTTGCACTGTGTCAATATTTACCGTGATAGTATAGTAGAGGAATGTAACTTACAGATGCTCTAAATTTACGCTTTAGATGCTCATCTGTGATTTTCTTTTTGTCTTCTTTTTCTCTCTAAAAACTAGGAAAGACTGGCTAATTTAAAAGAGAAAGCACATGTCAGGAATAAGTGTCATAGCTTTTCCAGTATTTTCTGCTGGTTGACTACATAGCTCTAAAGGAAGACATGGAGCAAAATAAAAGCAATAAATAGCTTTCTCATATTTTTGCTTTGATTTTAGTACAGAGAGGGCTAAGTTAAGATGCTGAAAAAATGGAAGTTTAAATGGAATCACAGAATAACTGAGGTTGTAAGCATCATTTAACTCCCAAGAATGGAGATCATGCAATTTCTTGTACACTGCTCATTTCTTACTTCTTTCTTCTGCCCCTACTTAAGGGTGTTTGACCACCTCTGCTGTGGCAAAAGTATTTTCTTACATCTTGTTTCATCACCATACCTACTGGGATCAGTCTGTCTGCGTCTCTCCATACCTGCCCCCTGGGGGGATAGATGTAGAGCACAGAAGACTCTGCCACTGACCTTCTCTTCTTGGGGCAGAATAACTCCCCCCCTTCAAGCTCTCCCCTTATGTCACTTACTCCACTGTGTCAGCTGAGGTGTTGAGGAGCCCAGAAGTGGACATAGTACTCCAGATGCTGGCTTACAAGTGCCAGAAGGAATGGAAGAATACTTTCTTCAGCCTTCCACATGCAGCTGGCCATTATTGCTGACTCCTGTTCAACTATTTGTTGGCCTCCCATATCTTTCCCCACAAAGATTCCCTGTTAACATCTGATCTCAGCCTGTAGGGCTGAGTGGTTACCCTGGCCCAGATGTGGTATTTACTGCCCTTGGACTTCACAGCTTTTCTATCAGATCATTATTTTTCAGCCTGTTCCTCTGTCTAGCAGTCCTGCCCTCCACAGTATCAGGCACTCACCCACTTTGATATTGTTCACACACTTGCTGAGCATGCTGACTCATCATCCAGGAAATAGTTTTGATGACTCCTGTCAGTCCCAGAGGTACACCACTGGAAGTTGACTGCCCGGTGAACTTTGTACCCATTATCAACATCCCCAAGCCCAACAGTCAGGCTCATTTTCTACCCACCTTTTTGTTCACTTAGTCCATATGATGAAGTTAGAAGGAAACTGTGGGATATCATAGCAGGAGCCATGCTGAAGCTGAGATGCACAGCATTTGTTACTTTCTTTTTTTTGAAAACAGTGTCATCTCATTGTAAAAGGCACTCAGATCAATAAGGGCTATTCACCTTGGCATGTCTGTGATTGTTCTTCCTAATTGCTTTTTTCTGCTTAATGTGGTAATGTCTTCCAAGATTATTTTAATGTTAATCCTGGAGGCTGACTAGCCCACAATAAAATTGATTTTTTTCTTGTAAACCTTCTTTGACGTGGATGTGACAGTTGTCTTTCTATCATTGGAAATATCACCCAATTGTCATAATCTCTTAGTCATGGTAGGAGAATTGCAGTGACACTGAGCTGTTTCTTTGATTTGCTCAGATGTGTTTTATGGACTGGTGTACACCCATCTGGGTATAGCTTCTCCAGCTCCATCTCTTTACTCTAAGAAGTCTTGTTCCTCATAGCTTACTCCCAGGGCTTAATTCCTGTTCCTATAGTTGCAGATCTATAGGCAGAGAAGAAAGCCAGAAGTCTTGAGTTTCTATGGCTATCTGGAATTTTTGACAGGCAGATGTTGCAGGTGTTTCAGTGTTCTCTGATAACTCTTTGTGTAACTAGCTGCTTCACCTATGACTTGATTCATCCTCAAGAAGGTGAATCCCATAGCATAAGAATGGGATAATGGTGTTCATCTTCTTTTGGTTACCAAAAGAACTTTGCATCTGTTTTAATTGTTCTCTGTGTGATTCTACAACATTTTATGTTATCATGGGTATTGTGACAACACAAAAATTGGTTAATCTGCTGACAGAGGTGAAAAAGTAGAGACTGGTGTGCAGTGAAATGAATTGGACTGTGGAGAATGCAATAGCCAGTGTGTTTTACTGTCAAATGATCTCCTTATTTGACTGGAGGCTTGTCCTACAGCTTCACTGGGAGTACCTCTGGCTTCCCCTCACTCTTTGAACTGCAGCTGTACTTCTATAAGTCCTCTTGCTTCTGTCCATTTCCAGGGCCTTCAGCTGTGGAACTCACTGTCTCTGACTGTACTATAGTACAGTATATTTGGGTGACTGATTATTTGGAGCATGCCTTTTGTGACCTGGCCTGGTCCCTGCAAATGTACTGGAAGTTCCTTTCCATAATGCAATACTATTTTGGCATCTTAAGAACCTGAGGGATTACAAGTATCAGAGGAGAGAAGCACTATGAAATGTGGAGCTCTGTAGTTTGAAGGACTGTCAGACCTTCCTTGTTCTGTATAGTGTGGTATTTCTGGAGTGCCAGTACTTCTTCAAAGGAGAGCACAAGCTTTATCAGGCTTTTGGAGTATTTTGCCTGCTTAGGTGGATTACCTTTGTTGAGGTTTTGCAAATGAGTCATAGGGAATTTGATCAAATCGCCTAGATTTGATCTTTAAGGATGATCTATAGGTCAGCTGTAGGTTGGTCATCTTGTCTTGCATGCTAACAAAAATCATGTCTCAGAGCTTGCCTGAGCCCAGTCTCCTAGCAGCCCTTCTCTGGTTACAGATTGCTCTGTCTTTCCTGTATGGCGCTACTATCTAGGGCACTCCAGAAGATTCAATTGGATATGGTCTGTGTTTCTTTCTCAGATAAGGAAATACATTAGCTGCAGTGGATGTAGAGTTTTTACCTGCATAAAAAAGGAAAGTGGTTAATTAAACCTTTTCAAATATCTAGTTAATTAAACCCAAGTTGAATACAAAGATGGTCGTGAACCAAAAATCAGTGCTTCCTTTCCTTTTTTTCCTCTCCTGTCTCTGACAGTGCCCTGTTCAGTGGCCCTCCTTTGAATGTAAAGTGCAGTAGTTTCACTATAATGCTTCAGTCCTCCAAGTTGTAAAGTTACGGTTTGGAATCTCTTTATTATTCATGCCTGGAGACTTCTAAAGGAATAGGAAACCTATAAAATACGGGAACGCTAATTGAAATTTGGAAAGTGGAAGGGAGTTTATAGTTCTTTCTTCCTTGCTGCATCCCACTATTTCAGTGGATTGATGCTGCAAGTGTGAATACTGGTGTGACTTTGGCTATTAAAATTAGAAAAATACCTCCCATGAATGTTTTCTCCCTCCACACTCCCTAATTTTGCCCATCACCCCCCCCTCAAATAGCTGTAGATTACTGTAAACAAATTAGTGTATGTTACAGATGGAAGAATAAGGTAGTAGTGAATAGTAATCCACATTTAAATATGGAGAGGGTGCCACCAGCAGTCAGTTGAAGGAAGTAAAGTGAAATAAAAAGCATTGTAGATAGCTCTGAAATTGTCTTATCCCTCAAAGGTAAAAGTTAAGAATGCTTAATATCCCAGTGTCTTTCTTCTAAGTCTGGAAAGTCACTTTATTTTTTTTTTTTTTCCTTCTAGGTGAAACAATTGCACAGCTTACAGATGTGGCAAGCTTGGATCATCCAGAATCTGATAGCCACATAACAATCTTTACAGACAAAACGGGTGTGGTAAAAGCTGCAAGGTTATTGCTTTCTTCTGTCACAAAGGTGCTGGTGCTAGCAGACAGAATTGTTATTAAGCAAATTATAACTTCCAGGAACAAGGTATTGTAGCTTCTCTTCTGTTCAACTGATACCTGTAGTCAGTGCAAAAGAATGGTAGTAGTAAATGTGATACTGTCATTGTCTCTGTGGAGGAATTATAAATTAAAGAGATAAAAATTAATGTCTTGCACATGTTTACTTACCAGGTATCCAGGAATTATAAAATAAATAGATAAAAATGAATGCGTTGCACATGTTTACTTACCAGATATCCAAAAGGGGATGGCTCTAAGACAGTAGCATTAAAATTTTCAGTGATTCTGCATTTTATATCACCCATATTGCTTTATTCACTTATTATGTTAGAGAAGATGCTGTGTTACTGCTTATTTAATTTTAAATGTGCTGTGAGGTGAAAAGTGTGTCTGTTGATTAAAATGGTCAATAAATCTTCTACTTGCTAATGACAGGATTTTGTACCATCAGGATTAAGACAAAGAGAGCATTCTGGCATCTAGACAAAAAGCTGTGCGGAATGCACGTAAAAGTCTCTGCCAGTTGAAGTGAGGTTTACAGATTAAAAGCTTCTTGTACAGTTTAACTTAGGTCTTGAGATTTAGGATGAAACTGCTTGGTTGGTTTAAAGAATCTGTGAAGGCCCATTTAACCTCAAATATAATTTCATGCAGTGCAGACTTCACTGTCTGCCTGTAGGATATTCTTCCATTTTCTTCTTCACAATGTGCTAAAACAAAAATAGAAAAAGCCTATGTTTGAAAAATGAGAACCTGATAAGGCCTGAGGGTTTCCATTAATTTTGAGCTTGTAATCTAGAGCAGTGTCCCTCTTTCCACTTTTGACTCCTTAATGGTGTCTCTGTTGTATTCCTTTGTCCCAGTTTACTTTCCAGACCCACTGGACTCTATTTTGTAGCACCTAGATCCAAGACACTTAGTTCACTCCAGGATTCAAAACCAGTGAAATTACCTGCTTCTCTCTGGCTTTAGACTTGGCTGCACTGATCTGCTGTCTTTGTGCTCATTTCTTCTCTCAGTGGTTGATTCAGTTGGCAGCAGTGTTACTAATATCAGTTTCCATGCAGTAATCCTAATTAATTTACCTTTCCAAAAGTGGCAGGTTTAGGCTATGGAGCAACTGTGCAAATGCATGTATCACGGAAGGATAAGGAAGAATATATCCTTTGAGGAGCAGGCTAGGTTTCTGGTAATTTTAAATATGTATGAAAATACTGTCATATCCACACCAATATGAATATAGTGAGCATAGGTGCAGCATTTAATTTTGAAAGCATTTCAAGCAATCTCATAGTACCAAGTAAGTGTATCTGACTCTGACTGCCATAGGCACAGAACTGTAAAATATCCTTACTTGAAGGGGACCCAAGTCCAACTCCTGGCCCTGCACAGGACACCCCATGAGTAACACCATCTGCCCAAGAGCACTGTCCAAATGGTTCTTGAACTCTATCAGGCTTGGTGCTGTGACCACTTCCCTGGCACTGTTCCAGTGCCCAACCACCATCTGAGTAAAGAACCTTTTCCTGATATGCAACCTCACCTTCCCCAGAAAAAACTTCAGGCCATTTCCTCGAGTCCTATCGCTGAGGAGAGAAGAGATCAGTGCCTGCCCCTCCTTTTCCCCTCACAAAGCAGTTGTAACTGCATTGAAGTCTCCTCTCAGTCTCCTCTTTTCCAGGCTGAACAGACCAAGTGACCTCAGCAGCTGTTCATACGGGTTCCACTCAAGGCCCTTCACCATCTTCATAGCCCTCCTTTGAAACTCTCTAGTGGCTTAATATCTCTATATTTTGGTACCCAAAGCTGCCCCCAGCACTCGAGGTGAGGCCACCCCAGTGCAGAGCAGAGCAGGACAATCCCCTCCCTTGCCCAGCTGATGCACCCCAGGACACAGCTATTCTTTGTGATCTGGGTTTTACTGCATGCTCCTTTCTATGCATAGTGCATGTCTGGGAAAGTCTGCTTTTGTCTGTGGTAACAGTAGATCACAATTCACATCTCCAGGACCAGATTAAATAAATGGTGTTTTATATAGGCTTAATATTGGCTTAATATTTTTATATGCCCTAATGTTTACTGTAAAGTACTCCTGAAAAGTGTGTAGAGACATTGCTATGAAGAGACACTGCTATGCTGGATAGCAAAGAGATTCTTGCTGTAGAAGACTTTGTGGTAGAGGGATAATGTAGGCAGGGATTTAAGAAGTGCATGCAAATACTCTGAAACTGTGTAGTATAATATGGCAAAGAGGATGGAAAGATAGGAAGAGGAGCATCAGTACTGCCAACTGGAGAAGATTCTGGCTTCTTAAAATGAATCACTGTTCCAGAAGATCTCGGCTCCATTTTTGTCTTAGAGACTGAATGCCCAGTGTTAAACTTTTATTGCTTTTTTTTTTTTTTAATGCTTATTTCTGAACACCTTTTTTTTCCATTGTCATTATCTTCCTCGTGTGAATAAAGAGTCAATCAAGGGTAAAGGATAGAAAAACAGAGTGGCTGGACATGCAATCCCTAAGACAAATGAAGTGGTTGAGATCTTCCAGAATGGTCATCTGTTCCAGAATCAGCTGATGATCCCCAGTGATCCTGTTCCTGCTTCCACATTCTCTGCACCATATATGCTGTCCTTGTGTTCTTGGATTGCATACATTTTCTTCCATACCTGCCCACATCTTTCCTACAAAATCTTTCCTTTACAAAATCAGTTTCATTGTCCATCAGACTTAGTCACTGCATCAGTGAGCTTAAGGTTTTGCTCCACTCACTGTCACCAGTCAGGATAGGAGAGCCAGAACAATAAGTAGGGAAGTGACAGATAGTGGGGGAGTTGCTGCATTGTTCATTTTGGATCAAAATATGGATGTGCCCTGAAGTGATGTCAGCCTACGACTGCTGTCTGCAAGGAGACATTCATCCTGCAGCACTAGTTGTGCAATATCTAGTGCTAATTTAGATGTTAATAAGAGCTTAAAGCCTCGTTTTTTTTAACATTTTTTTAACCTTTTAATTAAAATATGTATGTCTTCATTACTGTCCACATGTTTCTTGTTGAAAAAGCTTTAAAATGAAAAAATATGAAGCTATCACAGGTGTTTTGCATTGTATCAGCATCTTGAATAAGCTTTAGACAAATTTAGAGCTGTCTATACAATTTTTTGGAATGTCAGAGCTCTTCCTGGGATGTCTAGAATTATTCAATGTAATGGAAATGCATGTGCTTTTACTGTAATTTTTATTTGACAAGAAATTTGTCATGAGAAAAACACAGAAAACTGTAACAGTTTTTTGCAGCCAAGGTCAGACTCATAAAGTACTTCATTTGATTAAACCTAGAATGGTTGAGCATCATTAATATTTCTTTTTATCTATTCTTAGAAGAGAAAGTTGTGCCTTAGCTTGTATGTTTTCCTCTTTTATCCACACTTTTCTACATCCTCACTTCCCCAGTCCTGTGGTTCTCTCCTTCTTCCACTCTCATACTGCTATTTTCACAACTTTACGCATTTTCCTTCCAAGTCCTTCGTACTCCAGCCTTTCTCATGCATCAACACCCAAATCCAGAATATTTCTTTCTGCAGCCTTTGTGGAAATGGTTGCCCAACCTATTATCCTCATACAGATTGTTGCAGTCTCATATTGCTTGATACAAGCTGTGAATTCCACAGCAGTCGCAGAGTTTAGTGGGCCATTTGCTTTACTTAGTTTACAACTGATATTGAGCAGCTGCTCTGCCACAAACAAATGGGTGCTTCTAGGAGAGTTTGCCTGGGTTTCAGGGAAGGGGGAGTTTGTCATAATCAGGTGTGTACAGTTTTTGTAGTTGGTGGGAGATACTTTTGGCATAAAAAAGGAAAAATCAGTTGAAGTTTCTCCCTTTCAAGTACAGTCTATTAAATTTTCATGCAGTGTTTTATCTCTAGTCTGAAAGACAATACAGAACTGCTTTGAGTGTTTTCCCTTTTGAAGACATTTAGTGGATTTGAAAGGTGTCTTTGAGATTAGCAAGTATATGTCTAACCTGAAAAATGCAGATGTTAATTTCTGTTATAATCCATAATGTAGTGACTTCACAGGATATCTTCAGTAACCAGTAATTTATAAGCTCTATGATAGTTTTTGCTGAATGTTTAAAAAAAAAAGCTTATTTTACATGCTTTCATGTATCTTGAGTAAGAACATGGTACAACTTGGGTATATTTAGTTCTTTGTTTTATATGCAACTAATAGAAATCTCCAGAGTTAGAGTAGGTTGTTATGGAAAGTATAAAACTATGTATTCACTTATTTCTAACTTTTTTGTTCAAATTTGTTGAATTCTGTTGCTTTTTTTAATATACAGAGCCACTGAAATGCATGTCTGTACAACTGTGATTTTAGACTTTGAAAGTTAGGCATCTGAAATGGAGTTACAACACAGGGGTATCAATCTGCACTTGTTACTCTCATATTAAATTTTAAACCACATTTTTTTCTGAATCTGGAAGCTGAATCCATTAATACTGTTACTTAATACTGTAAGGAGCAAGGAGAATGATTTTTGAGGGTGGACAACAAATTACTCACTTTGAATGAAGCATGATAATTCACTTATATTTGATTTCTAGCTGTTGTGTTATTAATGCTTAAATAGTAACAAAATACATGCATTTTAAACTACACACCTTAGGAGTGTCTGTAAATAGTAGTATTACTTGTACGGTATTATAATGATGTTTTTTGTTCAGCATCTTGATAATCTATAGTATTTTCCGTTATCTTACAGGTTCTTGCAACAATGGAGCAACTAGAAAAAGTCAGTAGTTTTCAGGAGTTTGTACAGATATTCAGCCAGTTTGGAAATGAAATGGTGGAGTTTGCCCATTTAACTGGAGATCGGCAGAATGTAAGTATTAGGAAGAGGTTGTAAGAGAATGTTGCACAGTATCATCTTCATCTTATTATCAGGAAGGTGGATGATAAAAGAAAACAAAACAATTGCTTGTGTCCTGTCTCTGGAGCCTACCCGCTCCTAGATCCACCCAAAACACATATTTTGATTTTAAAGCTTAGCCCGAGAAATATAGCTGCACTGTTTGCCCTGCATATTTTCCAGAAGCCTGGGTGTGTGATATTTACATTGTCTTTTGGCTTCGGTCACTGTCTTTTGGCTTTAACTTTTCTGGCTCATTACTCTGGTAGAGTTTGACTGTTGTGATGGAATATTTGATGTTTGCATGTAGTGAAAGAACTTCATTATCTTAAAAAACTCCAAATGGATTCTAATAAAGCATCTGCTTGGTGGCTTGTTAGATTTTGGGGGGTATTATTATTATTATTATTATTATTATTATTATTATGAAAAATTTTTCTAGGTTTAGGTCAAAACCTTCTTATATTAGAGCAATGAGTTTTAGTTCTCACAGGCAACTACTCTGTCAAAGCCTTTCATTCATACTGGAAGCTTTTTTCCCCACTACTTCCATGTAAATTAAAGAGTTTGCTGAGGCTTAAGACTTCTGCTGTGAGCCCTAGTTGCTTTCCCTTGATAATCCAATCCTCTGTTCAGAGCTAAACCAGGGTTCGCTATAAATATACAGTGTCCCTAATATCCAGCAAAATTCAGAATTCAGTTTGTATAAACAAATTGATCAAAATCATGTGTTTTCTTTTACTGTTGATATGTGCATGCTTGGTGTCAAAGAACCATTACTGGGAAAGCTACTTAAAGGAAATACCTATTTAGAAGCGAACTCTTTTTTTTTTTTTTTTTCTTGAAGTATTTTTTCCCTGAGCAGTTGTTCCTTTGAAAGGGAAACATGCATTATTAGGAAGTCTTATTCACTTTTCAACTATGCTGAATTTTCAGTGTTAAGTGGTCTGCTCTCCCATCTTTGCCTACTTGATTCTTTTGACAAGAGTGCTGTGTTACCACTTTTTCAATTTTGTCAAGACTTTCTTGATATGCTCAGTGTGTAGACTGCTATGTGGCATTACTAGTTTTATGGGGAGGAAGCATTCCCTCACAGTATTTTTAAGTGTGCCATAAATTCTTGAGTGCCATCAGATTTATCAGTGTGTAATGTCAGAATTTCAGAAATCAACTGTTTTCCTGTTTGGTTGTTTTGTTGGTTTGGTTTTTAGTGTGATTTTTATCTTAAAGATTTTCTGTAGTTGCTAAATACAGACATTATGAAAATGTCAAAACAGACTACTGCTGTGATTTATCTGGGTGTTTTTTTTAATCTTGGGTATATTAGGATTCATTACATCCTGTAAAGCTTCAGCTGGTCCCATTCAGTTTTCTGTTTGACACTCAGAGAGCGCTCATCTGTCTTTGTGAGCAGTGAGAAGATTGTAGTTGTAGCTTTCTAAGTTCTCCCCCTTATTAGACCCTCTTGCACGTTGAGGGATTGATGTCTTGCCCTCTTCCCCCATATCCTGATTTGGAGTCTAAATTCTTTTGTTTTGCTGAACTTTGCTGGGGCTATAGTTCAGTTTTGCAGGTGTATCCATCTTTCCCTGGAAAGTTCTTGATAAATTTCTGTACTCAGAGCAGAGAAATACCAAGGAATTGCTTTTTCAGCCTATTAAGGCTTTTTTTATTACTAGTATGTAGCAAATGCAAAACTCAAGTAGAAAAAAGATTTTGTTTACATTTCCTCCACTGCAGTATAATGAAAAGCAGGTGTTCTCTGTTTCTGCCTTACCTTTCCCTCCATTTCAGAAAATATTTCTTATCAGCTATTCTTTTCACCTCATTTTTCTGTTTTATGAATAATGCCTTATGATAAAGGTATCAAAATTAGCAACAGTTTACATAACATTCTCTGTATCTTGGAGATCTTCTTTCTTTGAAATCTGAATTGAATAGAGCCAAGAATAAATGCATAAATTAAAGACTGTCTTCAAAGTAAGTTCTAGATCATGAGTTAGGCTGAAAATAGCAGTTGTCAGAAATTAGAAAGCTTTCTCACAACCCATTCACCTGCAAGAGTTCTTTTTCCAGTCTCACAAGTTAATATTTTAGATATTGTGTCTTTTTTGTTTGTTTGTTTGTTTGGTGTTTAGGATTTGAAGGATGAGAAGAAAAAGGCTAGAATGGCAGCATCTAGGGCTGTTCTTGAGAAGTGCACTATGATGCTTCTGACCGCTTCAAAGGTGAGTGAGCTTGTGCACCCTTACACAACTTGGCTAAATCACAAAGCATGGCATCTGCCAGGAGAGCTGACTCTCTTCTTTCAGCCCCACTTTTGATTTATTGCTAAAGAAGGGTATAAGTGTAAAGAATGAGGAAAGAAAATCTTTATATTGTAAGTAACAGTGTGAACTTGACTTAACAGCAGTTCAACAGAAAGAATTCACCATATTCTAAACATGCTTTTTAGATTTGCCTTAGCAGGAAGCATTCATTTTAATATACTGCATGTGTACTCTTTCATAATAGTTACTCTACTTTCTTTAAAAAGACTTGTCTGAGGCATCCAGACTGTGAATCTGCTCGTATTAACAAAGATGGAGTTTTTCATCGGATGAGACTAGCTTTGGAACAGGTGATAGAAATTGTAACTGACTCTAGACCAAATGGAGAAAATGAAATGGCCCCCATCAGCATATATTCGGGCATCAAAGAATTCAAGGTAAGAGTAGAAATAATATTGTTTTCTACAACCAGTAAAGTACCTCTTAACTAGGATTTTGGGAAAAAAAAAAAGTGGTTTTAGATTTGAGATCATGGAGCTGCATCTTTTCAGCAGTGTTGACTTAAATAACTGTCCTATAATGTTAAGGAATCTGTCAAGAGGTGACTATAATTTAATTGTCATTGCCAAAATACACCTCTCATTCTGAAACAGTATACATTCAGAACTCTAATATTTTTTGTGAGGTGATGCATTGACATTGAATAAACTGAAGTATTACAATGTGATCAGAACTTCATTAAAATAGTTGTTGTTTGAGAATTCTTGCTTTTTAAGTGTTAAAGTTTTTAAAACCGCATGCAAAAATATTCATACAAACATTTAAAAGAGCAAACTGACATTCAAAATAAATGTTCTGAAGTGAAATTTTATCCTGTATTTCAATGGACCTTTTTCCTCATAAAGGCTTTTCTAAATTTCATACTCCATTAAGAACAGTTAATGAGCAACTATGGCTTACTGCTTTTGAGCATGTCACTTTGATTCAATTTATTTGTTTATCTATTTCCTCTCTTTGAATTTCCACTTAAATTTTTTGAGAGTGCCCCAGAGTATTAAATTTGCTAAATACACATTTTTAGAAAACTACTCAAAATGGATTACATGGATGTGGAAGGATCAAACAAAATTGGATTATATTTAATTTCTGAAACTTCCTGAACTCAGAAACTTTTTATTGACAAGAGTAGAACAATGATATATTTTCTGTTATTCCTGATAAGGAATGCAATGATATATTTGCTGCTATTTCTGGTAAGTGGCTAGTAAACTGCTGATTGTATTATCAATTTCAAGAAACATTCCAAACCCCAAACTGTAGGTCTGGATGCAAGCAAATTGTTGGATTATTTTGAAAATAAGGGAGTAATTTTAAAAAGCATTAAGGAGAAAAATAAAATGTCAAATGGTAGCTCTACCTTCTGCATTTGCATCACAACTAAATCACATAAATTCTCAAGAAAATGGCATGCTTTCTTTTCAGAATAAGGTTGAAGGTCTCCGTGAGAATCTTTATTTTCTCTCAAAAGAGAACCTTTCAACAATGCTGGAAGTTATCCTGGAACATACAGAAGACTTCACAGACTCTGCCTATACCAGTCATGAACACAGAGAGCACATTTTGGAGCTGTCTAAACAAGCTAAAATGGAACTAGAGCAGCTGGTTTCAGTGTGGATGCAAGCTGTAAGAGCTTTTTAGCAAAGTAAATCTTTTCATCTCTACTTTGAAAAGAAATTTTGAATGCAGTCTTTCTTCTGGTCTACGAATAGAGAACTGGGTATATTCCTCACAGTGGGAGCTGATCAAGAAAGCCAGAGTTTGTTCTGTGCTTTTGCAGCATCCATATGTTCTGTCCTCCCCCTACCCCAGTGGTATTGCTTCATTGATTCTTTGATGGCTAAATTAGGCTACTGATGGCAGTAGACTAATTTTAATGAAGATGTGAGTGGAAACAAGGCAGTGAACAGAAGTATCACTGCACAGTCTTAAACAGTGAAGTCTTTTGGTGGAGTAGTTCAGAGATTTCAATTGTCTTGATCCCAATAGCTGTGACCACAGTTTTCTTTCTTGTTTTCAACAGAAACTGTTAAACTGCTGGAAAGGAAAACATTGTAAAAAATTGACTGGGTTTTAATATTGTGGAGGGAGAAGAGAGACAATAAGGCTATTTTTGTTTGTCCTTTTTTACATTATTTAAATGATGGTAGCTTTTGGGAAAGAATCATGTTAAGCCAGCCTCTATCTCTTGTCCTACTTGTTCCTTGAAAATGATAGAAGACACATGCAAAAGGGGAAGCAAAAGCAGAGATGGAAAATGCAGCTTCTGGTTCTGATGCTGACTTGCTTTCAGTCTTGCTCCTGGGGATATGTATAGCACAAAGTCTTATCAACGCTCTGAAGTAAGGCAGATGTGTCCTGGTATAGGATATTTACTTAACTGAGTGTATTATTTACGAGAAAGCATTTTTGTTCCTTTTTTCCTCTTTGAATCAGGTACTACTGTCATGTGTTTTTAATGCAGTAGTGTAGTTTGAAGGGCATATAAATCTTAATAATATACAGAATATTATTATGACAAACAAGACACATACAGAATATCAATTGCATAGATTCCCTTTAACTATAGGAGCTAAACCTGTGTTTAGCTTGGTGTTGTTGGTTAGCCCTGGTAGGCAGCTGTGCAAACACTGCTCAGCAATAACTAACACCATGTTGTCAGCACTGCCTTTATCACAAATCCAAAGCAGCAGCATGCCAGATATATAAAGAAAGTTAATTCCATACCAGCCAAAACCAGGATGTGTGGTTATTTCTAAGCTCTATTACTGGTGGAAAATAATCACCTCTAAATAATTTACAGGTTACATTTCAGGAGATAGAAATGAGAGCCTAGTTCAAGATTATGCATATATATGATCTGTGAAAATACTTGGATGTGCATATGTGTGCTTGTGCATTAAGAATTTTCATTAATAAATAACCCAGTCTAGTTGTGACTAAAGACACAGTAGCAGGTAAAATAATAACAGCTCACTGAGGTGGATATTTGGTTTCAGCTCAACAGTTTCATTGCAAGGTGAATGTTCTGAAGAAGCATTTTATAATTCAATATAAAACATTTGGTATAACATTTTTAGGTACCACTTTATTTTAAAAGGGTGTTTCTATTAAAAAGAAAAATGCCTTAAACGTTTGTTTTACTTTAGGATGGTCATGTAGAAGATTTCTGGCAGATGTCAAGGAAACCCTTTTCCTGAAGAAAGCTCAGTGAGGTTTAGAAATAAATTCCTGTTGAACACAAGCAGTCAATCAGATTGCATCACAATTGGTTTTAGATTTAATTTGGTGATAAATTTTTCTATAAAATAATTTTTCTAGTAGAATATACACAGGCTGCACAAGTGAGAGCATTTCATCTGGAAAGAAAAGGCTATCTTCTAAAGCTTCTTGAGCTAATGACATATGATGTCAGGGTGGGGTTTTTTTTTGCTGGGTTTTTTGTGTAATGTCTTGTTGGTTTCTTTGGTTTCTAGCAAAACCAAAAGACAAAGGATCTCATGGAAGACTTGGAAGTAGCCATTTTAAAAATGTGCCAGTGCATGAATGAACTTAAAAGAGAGGTAAGTGCAGCTTAAGCAAGATAAGGTGAATAAAAGTTTGAATTTCATATGTGAGGTTGTAAAATGGGATCCTGTACCCAAGAAGACTGTTGCCTTGCCTACTCTTGTAGACAAGAGTAACCAAATCATAATAGCATCATGGAGCTAGCTACATCGTCTTTGTCTTTACTGATTAGAAATCTTTTGGCTTCATAGGTTCATTGCTAACCCAAAAAAGAAGCGTTTGGAAGCAAGTACTATGTATGTAATCATTATTTTAAATGTAAAGGCAAACTTCCCTTGGAGATGTATGCATCACTCTTTGTAAATACATTTTTTTCTAGTGTGTGCATAAATTAATAAATTACATTTGCAGTTTGTTTGTAGTTAACCTTTCCTATTGATTTCCTTAGCAGAAATATGTTATCATAGTGCCTTACACTCAGGGCTTTTTTCCTCAGCAGTTGGCAGCTATGTATGAGTCTGTAGTAAATCATTCTTGTTTTCCTAAGTGCAAGTATGCTGAGGTCAGCTGGCACACACACATGGAATACCTGCCTCATTTGGTACATGGGATGGACTGCACTTGCTGCTCAGGGTCTTCACCCTTCCTAGGAAGGATGGCATCGCTGCCTTGTCTTTTCCACAGAATTGAAGCAAATACAGAATCTGATTTCTGGTAGCTTCCTAAATATTTGCACATGATTCAGCTATCTTTTTAACTGCTTCAAAATGCTGTTCTTTTAAACAGATGGAGAAATGAAGATTAAGAACAGTGAGTTTCAATACAGAGCAGTGCAAAGATGTTAGAAAAATGTGGTGAACTTGTTTAGGCTGAGCTGTCAGCTGTTGTAACTGGAAAATCTCAACTGCTGAAAAAATCATGCCCCCCTTTTTTACCATAGGCAGAATGAGAAATTTTGTCTTCTGGACTATAATTCCTGCAACTGTCTTGAAGATTTGAAAGTGTTTTCAATCTGTTTCAGTTCAGTTGCACTTTTGCTGTCAGGCAGAGTGTTGGGCTCTAGAAAGTGGAGGATACATAATTTTTGCACTTTGATTATGTTCTGGTTTATAATTTGGTCACCATTATGGAAGTAGCAGAGCTTTTCCAAAATGGCATTCACTTTGGAATGTGAGTGCTTCACAGTGCTTTAACTGTGAGATTATCCTTTTTGAGTAACATTGTTCCCAGGTGCTGAATGAGGTGGAAGAGTTCCTGGTCAAATTAGGATGTGACTATTTAATTGCATAGATAATAAAGCCACAGGTGGCTAGAATATGTTTTGTGAAAGAAAGGATTCATGCTTTTAGAAGCAAGCTCAGAAAATTATGTTGTTTTTGTTGTTCTCTGTGTAATGATTTAATTGATCCCAGAGTGGCCATACTTCTTTACATGGCTGAAGGCTGTCCTGTCAGTCTGACTTGGGGTGCTGCAGTGTAGCAGTCAGCAACCAAGATTTCTACTGGTAAATTCAAATATTGTGACTCTAATTAAGTGTTTTTGAGAGCCTGAGTGGCTGATAACAAAAGACAGCCTTGTTAAAGTAGTTCTCTACCCACCTCTGTCTTTTTATGGAAGAAACAGAAGTTATCCTCCTTTCTTGAGGTGATTTTACCACTCATGATCAGAGGCAGCATTAAGTAGAAGTGTATTTCTATTTTGGATCAGAATGAAAAGAACCTCTAATGAAAAGGTGATCCCTGTGTAGTCTATGTATAAATAAGAATTGCCAGTTCCTACTCCAACATTACAAGCCTTTCAGCTATCCTTTCTTCAGAGCTGACTTCATTTCTGGGATTAGTGATTAGTGCTAATTTTTAATGCCATGTGAACAATGTTATATAAATAGTTTATAACAGGTTGTCATAGCTCGTTTTTCCCCCTCTAAAAAACAATTGCAGCTGTTTTTGAGGCAATAATTCAGTTGTCTTGTCTATTGTGAAATTAAAAAACAAATCCAGAAGAACTCGATTCTGGATGCGCAGGAAGTACTGCCAGAGGAAAGGCAGAAAAAATGAAGTCCAGTGAATTAAAAACCTCAACATGCCATTCCAATAAACATTTTTCTCTGTGGAGTGAGTTACAAGCGCATCACATTCATAAGAACTGGAAAAATACTTTCTCTTGAACACCAAGTTTGTTCTCTACTCAGTCTAGTTTAGCAAAGTGAGTGCAGTGTAACAAGACTCACAATAGTCCTGTGAGCATGCTCTGCTGTTTCTAAAGAAGTTGCTATTTTGGTTTTAGCAATGTTCTTAAAATGGGGCTGATTGCAGGGTGCAGGTAACCTAGTGCCTAGTTAATAGAACTAGTAGCAGCAGTCACTGATACATGTTTTCAACCAGGGTGCTTCACAAGAGGACCTGAGTGTGTGTCTGGATTTAGAGATGTGTTTAAATGAGATGCTTCTCCTTGCTTGTTGGGACTGTAGGGAGATTGAGACTTCTTCAAGACCCATCTTCTTGTAGAAAAGTTGCTTTAAACTTTCCTAAGGCTGTGTTACAAGCTGATTATATTCAAGCTTTTCTTTGCATCACTGATAATTCTAATTTCTAATACTTTATAAATTCATCTTTGTGTGGCTTCAATCTGACTTACACAGTTCAATGTGTTTTCTTTAGGAGAAGTGGAATGGCCACTGTACTTTGCTTATGCTGAGCTTGGTGATCCACAGATTCATGGGCCTGGTTTTTCCCCGGCTGTAACATAATCAGAAAGCAGTGGTGTGATAACTTCATGGCCTCATTTTACCCAGCTGCTTTTTTGTTTCTCTCCATATTTGGTTGTGAAGTTGGTTTTTCTTGTTTGTGGGGAGAGTTTCTTGGCTTTTTGTTGTTGGGTTTTTTGGGGTTTTTTTTGTTTTTTGGTGGGGTTTTTTTTTTCAGTGGTTTTTATCTTTGTTCTTTGAATAGTAGTTGAAGAACTAAAGCTCCAGATAATAAGCAAGCTGTATATGAGCTTTCATGCCAGTAAATTTTTTTGCTTCTTAAAAAATTAATCTGTCTTAAGCTTGTTTGACTTGGTACTGGATAGATTTCTTTTTTTGGTTTCATGGTTTCTCTCTCCTTCTTTTAATGCTATTCAAGGTCCACAGTGCAGCAACATCTCTGGCAGCAGATCTTCTAAAATACCATACAGATCATACAGTTCTCAAAGCATTAAAAATCACAGGAGTAGAAGGAAATCTTGAAGCTGTAGCAGAATATACTTGCAAGCTATCAGAGCAGAAAGAACAGCTTGTTGAGGTGAGTTCACATCTGCTTTCATTGTATAGGGCACTTAGAAAATGAGTGCCTGAATTTGCATCAGTCTGTTCTTTAGGATGCCGTTGGTCTGTGTTTTTGTAATTTTATTTTATTTTTATAGTATGCTGCTGAATTTTGGATTGTTCTTGTCAGGGTCTGAGCCACAGATGTCACTGTGACATGTAAATGTTGTAGAAGGGATTTATATTTGTGCCCAATGGATCTAGATTAAATCTCTATGTAGACATTTGGCCTAAAATATTAATTTAAAAAGCAAGTTTCTAGGTCCAAGAGGAAATTATCACCCCTTTCTTTCAAGCAGCAGGCATCCAGCAATAGCTGAATCCAGGTATACAAGAATGCTGGAGATCCACAGTTAAGTTTTTAATGCAGTGAGTTTGATTTTGACAATCAGTCAAAAGGGCCACTGAAAATCTTCCTCCTTTGTTAAAAGCAATGTGTGTAGGGGATGTCAACCACATGTACCTTCTTGCTGTCTCTCTCACAGGTGAGCAGAGGCACCTATGCCAGCAGGAGGCATATAAATATAGATCACTTTGATCTGAAATATGGTGATGCCAGCAGCTGTACTTGCATGGTATCCAATACTCATTTCAAAAAAATTATTATATAGAGGGCTTGAGGATTCCTCCCAGAACTATGAATATGCAGAAGCAACACCCTTGAACTTCGAGGACTTGGAAGAGCAATGCTTTGAATTTTTAATTTCAACTTTAATGTCTGTTTGATCTGTGGCTATTTAGTGTTCTAGTGAGACATAATTTTTTTTTTTTTTCAGGCATAACCAGAAGGTTAAATAGTGCTTGCTTGTGAGACCTTACATCATGTCTGATGATGGACAGTTCAATAAGTTGCATATGTGCTGTCTCTGTCTTAAAAATTCCTTTTGATCTGAAAACTTCCATGTTCCTTTTCAACTCAAGTTCATTCTTAATCTTCTTAAAAAAAAAAAAGATGAAGGAAACAGTATTACTTCCCTAAATTAATTTGACATTGATTTGCTCAAAGATAATTTAGTCCATTGGATGATGAAAGCCTAAATTTTCCACATGGTTGCTTGTTTCTGAATACCCATGTTCTGCTAAAGCTATTTATTCTACAGTCTTTCCAAGTTCTATATGTGTGTCTATTTTAAGTTTTATTTGGTCATAAATATGTGAAATTGTTTTTGTTTTACTTTAATTTACTTTTATTTACTTTTAATTTACTTAATTTACTTTAATTTAATTTATTAAGACTTCCCTTTCTCTCAGTGGTTTTCCACACTTTTCAAGTCAGGATTTAGCCCCATTTTTATTGTTAATTCTCCCTGAGAAGCACCCAGCTGTGCAGTCCCCAGTATATATTTGAAAGGACAATCAATAAGTTTATGTTTGTTTGTACACCTTATTTTTGTATGTACACCTTTTCTCACTACTAATAAATGCCCTTTTTTTTACAATTCTTTTCATGTTTTTTTTTTTAAATAATTCAGATGTGTCGCTTACTAAGGCATGTTTCTGGAACTGAGCCCCTTGAGATAACTTGCATACATGCAGAGGATACCTTTCAGGTCACTGGCCCACAGGTATGTTCAGCTTTTAACTGGCCTCTTCTACTACAAATAAATCAATAAAAATTACTTGTCTGAATTTTTAAGAGACCTAATTTTTCCATGTTCAAAGCATTCATTTCTAAGCAGGAATTTTGCTCTAATGCTGTGTGGTAGCTAAAAGAACTCACAAGAAAGATCATCAAGCCTGCAATTGTCAGATGAATACACTACAAAGACATACTAGTAGCAGTTTAATTTTGTATTTTGCCTGGGGAGGCATTTGTGAATTCATGTAGAACACTATGTACTAGGACTTGCAGTAGCAAATGCTTTGTTCTTCGTCCAGATAATTTCTGCTGCAGAAACCCTGGCATTACATCCATCTAGCAAGATTGCAAAAGAAAATCTTGAGGTGTTCTGCGAGGCCTGGGAGTCACAGCTTAGTGACATGTCTCTGTTGTTAAGAGAAATCAACGATGTGTTTGAAGGAAGAAGAGGTAAGAAAGCTGTGTAGAAATAGAAAAATGTTACTTCAAATGTAAGAAATTTTAAGTGTGATTTAGGAAATTCTGTTTTCTTAAGAGTGGAGTGCAGTAAACAATTCCACATCCTGTGGGATCTAGGTAGTAATACACAAATATGTTTGGTTTGTTTAGATGTCACATCAGGCTGCTTATTGGATTTTTTCAAATAAAAGCAACCCAGTATTTAAAGGCCTGATTTACATAATATTAGTGATGCTTAATTTTCTGCACTGGGATTAGTTCTAGCAAAATCAAATAGAACTGTTCAGAGGACACAAAAGTGTTTGACACAGCTCTTTGCCAGCAGTGTCCAAATATAAGGGGTATAGGACTTTCACCCACGCCTCTTTTTTTGGCTTGGACATATCATCAATTCGTGACAGTCAAGATACAACTTGAATTGTGACATGTTTAATTAATGTCCTGAATTTGTGGAAAATACATATATATACATATATGTTCTCTACTGTCAGCTTGCCTTTTATTCACTTCATAATGTAGTGAATGTAGTTATTTGATTTTTAAACTGCTGTCCTTTCTCCTGGATGGAATTTCTGACGACTCTGCACAATCTTGGGATATTTTCTCTGGTTGGTAAGTTTATTGGTATTTGTACAACATGTAGAAGAAAAGCTTGGATTCTTAAGGAAAAAAATTATGTGTCTATTTTAGCATAGGGTAATTTACCTTTAAAATGAAGGTATTTTGGTTTTCATTTTTATACATGTAATTTTCTTTCACATTATGTCTTTAGTGTAGCCTGTCATGCTTCTTATAGCTACTTGTTTGTTTCAGTCTTTAAGGTATAATTGCATACAGATAGAATGTAATATATAGTAATACTGAATGTCTTGTATTTTCAAGAAAATCGCTCAGGTTCAAAAGCTTAGATTTAGCTAAATATGGGCGCTTAATTTTTTGTATCTAAGATACAGAAAATGTAAATCCTTATTCAGGTTAGATAACACTTTATCAATTATACAGTACTTCATCTTGCTATTGAGACCTCTTTTCATTTTCAGACTTTATTTTGTAGTTTAAATTTCTGTTCTTGATATTTTGTGTAAGCAGGTCTTTACTGCCAGCATTTTGAGCAGAGTAGCAACCAGTCATGGGGTGTAATATCTTAAATTGTTCCTGCTGGTTGCTGAATGAGTGTATGCCTGAGCCTCAAGACTTGTAAAAAGAAAACATATGTTGAAATTCTGAGGGGGTTTACAATAATTGTGTGTACTTCAGGTTATTGGCAGTTTGTGACTTTTGAGAAAAACGTGATTGCTATCCCAGCTGTTCTTCCACCTTGGTCTGAAATGCAATATAAATATGTGCAGCAATCAGAGAGCCTGTTTATGGGTCTTTTAACTTCCAGCAGATTTTTTGTTTGTTTGTTTTGGGAGCCAGGGTCAAACTTGCTTTCTCTAAAGATAATATTTTATAAAATGAAACTTAAATTATGCTGTTTTGCTGTTGTTAATTTGTCAGATTAAATTTGGAATCTTTAGGGCTGATCATGCAATATGTGATTTTTTTCATATTCATACAATGATCTAGCAAGGTTGAATGATAACCTTTTTTTATATTTATATCTATCTCTGTGTGTGTGCATACATATACATATATAGATATTACTGTTTTTAAAAATAATAGGATGAGAATCATGCAACCACAGCAAAGCATATCCTTGGCTCTCCAAACAAATTGTTCTTGATGTCAGATGCCCAGCCTCCTCTGTAGTTAATAACTTTCTCTTGGAGCTGCTGATGTCAGATAACACATTTTCCATAAGTGGTATTTTCCACTTTCTTTAAAGCATCATTTCACAAGGGCAATTCAATGTCCTTGCTTGAAGGAGGGAAAGGAGAATGGATAGGTGTTGCTGAGCAGGTTAGAGGCCATCGTAAGTGATGCAGTGAAGATTTCTCTTGTTTGGCATAACCACACGAGTGTTCTTGTTAGTGTCTCTCATTTCCTCAGTCTCTCTTTAAGCATAAAGCACTCTGATACCACCACTGGTAAGATACTGAGCATTGCCTGTGTTCTCTCTGTGGCCTTGGGTGCGTTAGATCTTGCATTGCCAAAACACTATTAAGAAATCTCCATTTTCCTTGTCACATGGCCCAGCCTAGTTAGAGACTGTCCTTTGAATCTAGATTGTTTCACAGTACCCACCAATTATGTCTTTAGACATAATTGTCTAAGGAGATAATTGGTGGGCCTTCTACAAAGTTTTCTACAAAGTTTTCCTCTCTATTGTGGGCTAATCTGGTTTTGTTTATTTATTTTCTCTTGTTGTACTTCAGAGTGACTCTTGTCATTAAAAAAAAAAAAGGGAGGAGAAAAAATATCACCCAAATACCCTGACCTTTTTTCTACCAGAAAATACTCTGAAGTTACTTTGCCACTTCCAACATCTTTCTTCTCCAAGAAAACACAACTGGTGACCCAGTGAATAAATGAAATGAACATATTTACTTGCTAAAAGGTTAAAGAAATGGCATTCACAAACCTTTTGCCTCCAAACACTATGGAGTTTCGTAATATTTGATAAGGCTTTATTCTTCTTGTAATTCATGACACTTGTCTTAATGTTGAGGTTGGTAAAAGTGACTTTATTTTACAGAATAAAATGTATCAAGTGCTTTATTCATAGTAAAATTGTGACTGTATGTAAGAAGAGATAGAATTACAGTAAGAGGTATATTTTTTTTTTCTTCTCAGTTTAAAAACTTGTATTTTTGTACTACCAGTTTAAATGTTTGGCTTTGTTAGAGAGTTCAGAATACAGGTTAAGATGCAAAAATTGAATGGTGACTAAATGTGCTGGACACATGACACATCAAATAAAAGAAGCCTTTTTCTGATTACACTAGATTCACATTGTTTATACTCATTTCTTTATTTTCATGAGCAGTTGCATAGCACCTTATCCAGTGGTTTTTTTTCATAACCTAAAATGAGGTATTTCTCATGCTGAGATTCCAAGACACATGGGAGGAGCTGGATTCAGTTTGAAAGTGAAGAAATATTTTAATCAATTTTAGTGAAATTATACCAGAACATGCCCAAATTGAAAAGGGCTTCTCTATGGTAGCAGGATTCACAGGCATGACAGGGTGGGGGAGGTTGGTGAGCACACCACAGCCCAGTAACCCTTATTTGTGTTTTGGAAATATTCCTGTGCTGTGCAGAACTGTACAGCAAGGTAGAGTTGTCCTTATTTTGCTCAATCCTAAAACACTTCTTAATCCAGTGGTGAGGTGGCCCCTTCTCCACAATGTTGGTGTGTCCAGGCTTGGGATGAGGAGGGTGACAGGCTCCTCAAGAGAGTTCTTCCTGCCAGCCATGGGAAGTCTGATTCTTCCCACAGAGGCATTGCTTGGTTCATTTCCATTTGATGCTTAACTCTGAGGCTCTTGCACTTTGAGATGAACCACCTGACCTTTCATCAATCTCTTTTGTCTAAAGTGTTGGTTTGAACATGGTGGAGAAGAATGTAAATAAATAATCTTCTTATTTGCTGCCTTGTAACTGGGGTAAGAAGTGAGAAAATGATTTCTGAAGATAACATACTTCTCTGCCCTCCTCTTTTGTTTTGCCCACTTGATTTGAGAGGAGTTGAATGACCATGAGATTTCTGAATGGCTGTAGGTGGTGTATAGGTGATACAGATCAGAATTAGGAAGCTCAAATTCTAGGAAGAAGACTGAAGCAGGCATGCTGCCATACTCTCAGAGAATAAGTGGCATCAAAAGTGGGAGTTAAAAGTTTATAGAAGTATTATGGAGGGAAAATCAGGATTGGAACTAGTAGAAAGCAGAAAATTGGAAGACATAGAATGAAATAATGAAAATTAATTCTAAGTGAAAAAATTAAAAAAGGAAAAACATGTTTCAGAAAACACATTAGGAAAAACCAAGGCAGAGTAAAATAAAATGAAGACCATCATGTGGTCTTGATATCAAGCCTCTTGATGTAATAGCAAAGATCTGACACACAAACTAAGGAAATTAAATACCTAAAATTATATATGTATATTCTGTTAAAGGAATCAAAAGTCCTGTGATTACACTGATGCAATTAAGTGTTTTCTGATTAATTAGGATTATCTCTGACCTGAGTTGATCTGCTCCTTTGAAAGGTCTGGTATCTATGGGTCAGGTGAAGTATGTTTTTTGTGTGCATATTTTGTGATCTTTAGGGGGTTTTTTTTGAATGTTCCAAGAAATAAATAGTTAGATCTTTCTTCTTTTTGAATATAGTGAGCAAAGAAACCTTGCTAAGCCAAATAATGGGAATTACTAGAAGAGCAAAAGCAATTTTTATTTTCTTACTTCTGTTTGCTATCACTTTCCATTTGGTTTCTGCAATTCTGAATGCTTGCCTTGTGTGTGCAAGTACTGTGTCATTGCAGTGAGCATTCTTATTCCATTTGTTATGGCAAAGCTTTCTGTGTTTGAACTTTTTAACAAGACACAACACGTTTTTACATAGCTCCAAGGAGATCTTTTATGCTGCAGCATTTAAAATTGCAAGTTCACTTTTGTTCTTGGTATGTCTTACATGCCCTTTAGCTGATGTTTTGATGTATAGGATGTTGTAAATGACTTCTCATAATTTGTATTGGTCTTTAGGGAGAAATCTTGCTTGGATACATGTTTGGGCAATTAATATCTGAATAACACTGTATTCTGGAAAAAAAAAACAATTATGCAGCTTGTGCCCTGTTAACTCATTCATCTTTTGCAAAACTGCATAGGGGAAGGAGAAAGTGATCTTAGAAAAGCAGGTTCCTTTTTTCGTATTTTTCAAGAGGCTTGAAGGACACTTGTTGGCATCCTAAAACTGTAGGAGTCAGTTGCCTAGATACAGAGATTATGATCTTCCTGTTGTGTCAGGAGAAAAAGGGCATGCATTCAAAAAATCCTGAATGCACAAAAGAACTGTCTTCTGAGGACTCAGAATGGAATTTCTCTAGGAGCTGATACAAGAAGAGGAATTAGCAATTGTAGAGGCGTCTTTTGGTTGTCCTTTGCTGGGATGTGTGGTCTCTATGTAAACCTGTACTGACATCCATTGTAGTAGCCCTTGGGTTTTAGTTGGGTTTTTTTCCTTGTTTCTGGGGTTTTTGGTAATACCAAAAATTTCTTACTAGCTCTTAAGGTTTTTACTTATTTTAATTTGGTTTAGCAGACTTTCCTCTCATGAATCTATTCTAATAATGCAAGTCTTCGTAGACTATTAAGTTCTTCTGGTAATTGAAACTCTAATCTTAGGCTGTTAGCCCAGGCAGTGTTTCCTCTTGAAAATAAACTCTTCTTATCAACTTTTAGGTAACAACCAAAAAGGATTTTTTATTTCTTAATTTTTTTTGCTCAGACTTGGAATATTGTAGGCTCCTGGATACACAAGAAACAATTCAGTAAGTGTGTAAAATGCTGTAGAACAACCCTCTTCATAAAATACAACACACATGGGATATGTATAGTACAGTACAACATGAGAGTTTTATTTGCATTACTTAGGAAAACCTGCCTAGGTATTTCTCACTAGTGGCACTGTCTACTCTGAATTTCAGACCATTTAACTCATGGCAAGAAAAGCCATGCATGCAGCTACAGTTTTATGTTCTGTATTTTGTGATAAAATGAGTGTGTGTAGCTGGTGAGTCATTGGAGAGAGTTGCTTTACTTCCTTGTGAAATACATGCAGGGGGCTAGAAATATTACTGGGGGAAATGTTCAGAGAAGTTTTCTTAATTGCCAGTTGCTAAAATCTTAGCAGTACAGAGCTCTTGGCCTGTCTCTGAAAGCATGAGACAGAGGATCTTCTGCAGTATTCAGAGAGGAGGAATTACAGGTAAGTAATTTGCTTTTATAGTACTGCATTTTAAGGAAGGATGAAGTAAGGCTTCTGACCCCACTGATTAAAATCTGTATAAAAATTTTGGTATAAACCTGTGTGTTCTTCATAGGAGAGAAGCGTGTCTACCTATCACTGCCCAGACCAGGGGTAAGTTGCTTTTGGGTTTGTTGTGTTTACTTGGCATCTGCTGTTCTCTGACTTCTTTCCCTGTCACAACCTGATAGGGACATAACAATATCTTGGTAACATGCATCCTGACTGGATGGCTGACAGTAAAATATCAACATTTGTCAATTTATTAAGTGAATAAGCAAACTGAAGACAAATGTAACTAGTTGTGTTATATGCTTTAATCACTTTGATTGTACATAAACTTTAATTCCTGTTCATTAATTTTTTACCACATACTCTACTTTCATGCTATATACTTAAAAAGTGCATTGTTGCTATTAACTGTAGGAATATGCTGCAGTAGACTGAAAATTAAAAGAAAAAATAAATCATACTACAAAGACAACATTGTAACCTGAGTTAACCTATTTGGAACAAGGATTCATGTTTGAGCCTGTTGTAGCCTCTTTAAATAATGGGTTCTTGTTTCTTTCTTTGATCCTAAGTGTGTTTAATGTAGAGAAAAAAGTTACACCAAATACCCAGTTTTTAGGTGTGAGGTATTTAATATCTTTAGCTGATTATAATTTATATTACACTGTTTCTGAGAGCATCTGTTTGTTAGAAAGCCTCCTAAATCTTATTGGTGTCATGTAATCAGTCATTTGATTCACTTGGCTGTGAACTGAATCTTTCCCTGGGTAGTAAAAAGGGAAAGAATGGTCTCAAAAGGTACAGTAATCTCTAGCTTGTTTCTTTCTCTCCTTGCTTTCTTTCCTTACTCTGTAGGGGAATTTGGGTTTAAAATGGTCCTCTGTCTCCATGTCTTCTGTTGTCCAATTCTACAGCTTCAAACACATTACAACATCTGACCTTAATGAAAAGAGAAAGCTTTATAAATCCAATATTTATAAAAAAGCTTTATAAAGCCAATATGCAGATTTAAATAGAATATGTTAGGCTGCATGAGCATGGGTGAATATCACAGTTATGGAACTAAATATTGAAACTTTATTTAGGGTTCCTTTCCCTGACCCCTTTGACTAAGACACATAGCTTCTGGATGTCATAATTTAGAGATTAAATGTTTGAAGTCAGAGTCCCAGTTATGGATTCATATGTTTTTTTTTAAATAATTCAATAAAATTTTTGTGGTCAGCATTTAAACAGTTCTGCTTTGTTATTATTTGAAAGGTTGCTGCCTTCTTTTTGAGTTTTGCAAGATACTTACCAGTTACAAATGCACAGTTTGAAAGTAGACAGGAAATGTAGATTGCATCCACAGAACACCAGAGTTTCTTCATAGAGTAATTTCTTTGCCTGGCTGATGCTCTGAGCTTTGGGACTGACTGTCTTGGCAGTGCTGTTCCTTTCAGCAGAGTCTCTCCTCCCCCTACTGCCATCACAGATCTGCTGTGCCTAGCTGACACCCACGCTGTCCCTGCACAGAGGCCACACTGTTCCTGCCAATCTAATTAGATCACATATTTTGTTACATCTGTTTAATTGCCACTGTGCTGTTTGCTGGTAATAAGTGGCACCCTAAACCATGCTGTAGATGAGGACCAGAGCAGCAGTGATGATTCATGTGTGTCCTTAATGCATATTTTTTCTGTATAGTTAAAATGTTGAATCATATTTTAAAAGCAGAATAACATATTTACTGATCTGACTTTGAACAATTGTACTATTCAAACAGTGCAAGGGGAACGCTAGAGTGGGGAAAACTGCAAAAACATTCTGAGGTTTCTTTAGTTAATTGTGAATGGGAAAAGTTACTTGTTGTAACCAGTGCTGGTTTTCTTGAATACCCTTCACTCTGCAGCTTAAATATTTGCCATACCTTCTGGACCAAAGTTTGTGTTTACAAACAAATGTAGTTTGATTTTGTCTTCCTTTCTTCTTTTAAGACACTGCTTTGAAAACACCATTTCTTAAATTGCATTTCTAATATGCAGTATAGTCAGATCACAATTAGGAGTTCAGTCCTTTGTGCTAAATGTTTCAATACGAGATCAGCATTTCTAATACGTAGGCAGAATTTTGGTGTCTCATCTGGATAGACATTCATAAGAGTCAGAATATTTAAACATTTTTGGATAGGAAAAGGGAAGTGGCACAAAGTTAAACTGAGCACTAAATTGCATTAGGAACTTCAGTATGAGTACTTTTGCTCAGATTCTTGAAGTGAGAAATGGAAATGGGACCAGAATCTCATTTCTGATGCTGTTCACAATGAACAGTGTTGTTTCTTGTGTTTGTGTGGATTTTTTTTTCCTGCATGCATTACTGAACCTAATTTGCCCAAGTACTCCTCCCACTAATGAATAGCAGCAAGTTTTTTTCAGAGTTTTTCAGAATCTTAGACAAGGCCCTCAGCTGGACACTGGGATTATCCAGCTTCCTCCTCTGCCTCACACCTCTCCAAATTATGACACCAACTTTACTCCTCTGCAGTCCAGTGGTTTCTGAATGTGGACTGTGCCTCCCACATCTGGTGGTCTTGCTGGCTTTGCACAGTGACAGCACCAGCAAATGAAATTAAAGCCAAGAACAGCAAATAATTATGAAACAAATTATGAATTACTGCCTAAGTGTGTAATGCATTTGGCAAGCACTGCCTTACCAGGTAGTCTACTCACATCAGTGCCATTAATTATTGCTTACTATAAGCAAATATTTGGCTTGCAGCCAGACATATTTTGGATAGTTCATGACTCAAAAAAAAAAAAAAAAGGAAACCCATGAAATGATGAGTGTCAGTACTTGCTTACAGCTGCTTCTCCAGAGTGACACAATAATGGGCTGCCTCCTCACACCTTCATTCATATGGGTTGTAGCCTACATCAGTGTGCTGTTAGCCAGATCAGCATCCTTGTTATATCAGTACCCTCTATGATAGAAAAATCAGTGCAGGAGTACTTGCTTAAGACTGTTTAGTCCTGAGTATTATTGAGGATTTACAGGGTAAAGGGAAGAGACTGTACTGTATTAGGAAGTGGAGCCTGAGAACTGTGGAAAAGAAGTCTTTTCCTTGGAATTTCAGGGCATCTGCACCTGCCATTTCAGGACAGACAGATCAGAACAGGTTCTCAGTTTCTGCTGAGAAGTTTGTTTGAACCTCTGGAACTCTCCTGCAAAGTCTTTCTCTGAATATAGAGCTACCTCTTTAAGACTTGCTAGTAAAATGATTACCAATTCCTTTTTTTTAAAAATATTATTTTTTGTTTGAAACAGAAGCATAATGCAAATCTGAAAGCATTAAAGCCAGTCAAACTAGATACTGAGGTAAGATGCCATCATTTTAGTAAAAAAACTCCTTTCATATTTTTATCTCATCTGAAGAATGTGTTTTAAGTGCCATAAATATGGTTACTATTTACAGGAACAGGCAAAAATTGCAAAACTTGGATTAGAATTGCATCTGCTAACATCTGATGTGGATTGTGAGACAGAGAAATGGGAGGATCAGGAGAATGAGATTGTGCAACATGGGCAAGGCATGTCAAGTATGGCCTACTCCATGTATTTATTTACCAGGTAATTACACTGCATGTGGAAAATTTTGGTGGGGAAAAGAGCATTAACAGTGTTCATAGGAAAGAAAAAATTTTCATTTTCAGAGCATAATAATTAGGACCCATTTAGAAAGGAACTTGATTCTGTCTGTAAGCTTTACACATTTTTGTGAATTTCTAAGCTGTTTAAAAAAACCCTAATTTTAAACCCCCCTTTATTTTTAAAGGGCTAAACACCCGTTTCATTGGAGGGCATCTATTTAAATGTCTCTTTGGTATGGAAAACATTTTAAGTATGTTTTTAAATACTTTAAAAATTAAGGGAATTAAAGCACAAGTGTATATACCTGTAGATGAGACATGACTGTAGATGAGAATTACTGATCCTTGTACTGAAAAGCGTTTATCTGAAATTTATCTGTGCAATGTCAGCTTTCTTACTTGAAAAATTTAGGTTTACTTGAGGTTTTTAACCAGAGTTGAGATTTTTTTTGTTACCTACTACTCCAGTAATACTCAGTATGCCAGAGATGTGGATTTCTAGTCTTGTTCAGCTTATGAAAACTGAGCCATTGTTAATTCCCCAACAGTGCTGTAGCTACTGAGGTGTTTGTGTAATATTTTAAATGCAGTTCCTGTAGATAGTTACTGTTGTGCCCAGTATCTTCTGAAAGACTGATATTTATAGTTCACTGGTGTGAACTGTAAAATGTTCAGTGGTGACACTATAATTTTTGTAAAGTAGCAAGAAAAATAATCTGCAGTCTATAAATGGCATATCTTCTGCTCTTGTTATTTTCCACAGAGGAGAAGGACTTCTGAAAACTACTCAAGATTTATTTCATCAGGCAGAGGTAATGTATTTTTAACAAAATAGGACATAGACTCTCTGAGTGAAGCCAAACAGGAACTTCAGTGTCTGATTTCTTACACATAAGTACAGTGCACCATGAATTGACTGGCAGCTGTAGATTTTGAGCAGCCTAACCCTGGTACATATTCTGAAAGTGAACTTCCCAGTGTTCCAGTATTAGCTTCAGACAGAATCATTACACTGATAGATTCCAGCTAGGAGTAGGGATAGCAAACTGGCATTATGGCAAATACAGTGGACTTCAATACATCTGTAGTATTTGTTGTGTACTGAGCTCAGTCCCTGGTAGTGTTAACAGATACTAAATCCTAGTCTGAGCAGCAGGATTTTCATGGAAAATAAATAAGAAGTAAAAACTTGCACAATGCAAACAGAAGGGTCCAAATGAAGTCATGTGGGATGCTATTTCCAGTATGAATACCTGTGTGTGACAGCTGGTTACCTTTGAAAGGACAATAAGCAAATAGGGAGCTGTCATCACAAAACATTTGTGAGCTGCCACAGTGCAAGAAATAATTACTGTTATATGTAAAGGGAAAATCTTTAAACTCTGCTTATCAGTGAGGATGGCAGTTTGTAGTGTAACTTGTTATTTCAGAAGTCTCTGCAAACTGCTGACTTGTGAATTATAGACGTATACCACTATTACAAGTATTTCCTGCTACCTTTTTACTTAAAAGCACATGATTAAACCAGAAGGTAAAAAGCCTTTCTGTTGTGATTCATTCTGTTACATGCTTTCTCCTACTTTCAGATTTTTGCCACAGAGGGCACAAAGCTCGCTTCAGCTCTTCATGCTCTTTCTGATCAGGTGATGTATCTTATGACATAAGTGATACTGCTTAGAAGTTGCTTCTCCCTTAATTTGGAGTCTTTAACACAGAGTTATTTTGTCTTCCTGGATGACATACCAGGTACGTGATGATGACAAGCCTTTGCTTCTGTTGGAGGCTGAAAAACTCATCTCTCTGTGCAAGCAGCTCCAGGCAACAGCTAAAGCTTCTGCTCAGGGTAAAAGTGCTACATTTACAAAGGTAAGGTAAAAAATTATATATATTTCTCAAAGTAACACCTAACTTGTTTTGAAATAAAGTAATTTACTAATTTATACTCCAGTTAAAATATGGAACTAGGCTGCAGTAGTACTGTAATCCACTAGAATTCCATTCAGATAAACAGGAACTGTAATTAAATGTACCTCAATATGGACTTCAGGGATCAAAATTTTAATGAAGGTAATATGTATTTCCACCACTGTAAAATTACTGTTACTGATGCTTAACATAAATTTAACAAATTCCAAACCCCCAACTCCACTACTGGAACACATTTGCTTCTCAGTAGGTAGCACCTACCCTGGACTGCACAGATTTTTTTCTGATATTCATATTTGCTATAAATAGCTACATGGACACCTATCATGAAAGTTTCATCACTGTTAACACAAGAAGTAGATCTGCAACATCAGAGAGGATCAGTATTCCTGAGCCAGCAGTGATCAGTGTGAGCAAGACCATTTCCATGCAGCTGGATATTTGTTTCCAGTTAGTTGGCTGTGGAAAGGGTATTTCAGTTTTACAGCAGGGTGTGAAACTGGCTAAAGCATGCAAGCCACTCAGAACCAAACCTTGGGGTTACTGTATGGTTTGTTTTACACCCTCTAAATTAAATGGGATGTATCGGTATGTAGCAGTAACAGGTTCTCAAGTAAATGTCTGATGGCTCAGATTTGTGACCTATGCTGAGTGTCAAGATTTAAGATAACTTTAAGTGTAACATTGAACTAAAGCTTAGGTGATACATGACTCTCTAAATCATGCTGGCAAGACATAAAACAAAATTAAAACCATGAAGAATTGTGATGATCTATGCTTAGCTTGTAAGAGCTCCTTTCCAAGAGACTTCTGTTACTTTTTAATATATTAGTAGTAGTTCATTCTCTTGGGATGTGTCTGCTCAATTTGTGCAGTACAGAAGGGATGCTCTTGTTTTACATGTACTATATAGAGAAGTTTAAAAAAATGTAGGCAAACCCATTTGATTAGGAGGTATTTTAACAGAAAATGTATTACTTAACCCAGCTCAAAACGGATCATCTCATGCCAAAAACTGCCTAACACAAGTATTGAGTAAGAGGTATTACTCTACTATTAATTGTCTTGTTTAGGTTGATGCATGCATTCTGAAAACAAGGAATGTGATGACTCTGTTGTGTCAACTTCTTCCACTTTGCTGCAAATTACTGAGAAAGGTGAGTACTGTCTTAATCTGTACTGTTTAAAAGTTTTGGGGTTGGTTTGCTTGGGTTGGTTGGTTGTTTTTAAGAAATCTTTCTTTTATACATACACAGAATAAAGCGGGAAATGGTTGTCTTAAGCCTGCTCCACCATGGAAAGAAGACAGAATACGAACTGGTACAAATGCACGTATTCCAGAAAGAAGAGTGGAGACCTTTGGCATCAAGTCTTTGGAAAATCACGTAACAAACATGACATTTTTAGAGAGCAAGTAATCATAGCACTGAGAAATGCAGGAATTCCCTTTTGAAAATAACACTTGCTGAAGTTTCAATACTGCTTTCATTTGTGGAAAGTCAAGCCAGGTTTATTTGATATAAAACTGTTGATCTTTGTCACATCTAATAGATGTCCCATTACTTAGCCATTAAAATACAACCTAGTCTAAATGTTCTGTATTTTTATAATGTGAATGCTTCTCTTATGCTCACTATTGATACCAGTTTTGTAATTCATGCTTCTGAATGTCTTAGTGGATGTGTCAACCCAAAGATGCTGCTAATAGACATTTTACATGAAGACCCCTGTGTTGTATGTTACACTACTGTTGAAGTCTGTAAACTCATCTCTGGCCTATTTCAGTCTATGTGTTTGATAAAGCAGAATCAGGAATATAGTCTGAAAGGCTGTGGCCTGAAGCACTGAAATGTTACCTTAGTTACAAGTTATACCTGCAATGAAGTAGTCCTAGGGAAAAAAAAGCCCTCTTTCAATAGATGCACCCCTGAATTTTAATCTTGACAGGATTTATCTCCATAAAAAGTATATTTCTTAGTGATTAATAGTCTTGACTCAAACCCCTTTTCTTTTACCCTATTTGTAGATGGCAGTTGTTGCTTTCTTTTTTATTAAAACTTACTGAGCAGAATTTGAGTTGTCTGTAGAACCACTGAAGTATTATGCAGACTTGACATTATGCCATTTACAATTGAAGAAAATAGATACTGATTATTACAAAATTCTGTACAAAGGGCATTATTTGACTTCAGGATACCATGAAAATACAACTTAGTGTGAAATACATATTTTCAAGTTTATCTGCTCTTTGTACACAGGCTTTTGTTGCATTTTTATTTTCCATTCACCTGTGTCAAACTCCATGTTGTATTAGTTTAGCTAAATGACATGATAGCTAAATGCTATGATTTTTTCTATATGTATTATGCTTGCATTAAGCAGAAGCAAAGCTGATTGTGGAACATAAATACTCTCCAACTTGTCATTCTGAGCTTATTTTAAAACCTCAATTAATATGGAATTCAGAGAAAGAGAAAAAAAAATATCAAGTTTTTACAGAAATTTTAATATACAAACTATTTGAACTGGTTTATTCTTTTACAAATCAAGGAGTTTAGTTCCACTTTTAAAAACTGGCACTGGGCCTTTCCCATACTATAAAACTCACAGTGTACAATAAACGTCACTTATTTAGTATCAAACATAGATGGGAAGTGTAGATTTGATCTCATGAAGCAGAACTGCGGCGTTTCATCAATACTTCCTCATACTCCTTCTGCGTTAGAAGTCCCTGAGTTATACTTTTGCTTTCTTCAAATTTGGGTAGAACCACTGCGATGTACCCCTCAGTTGATGGCTAAAAAGCAAGACTGAAGTTAGCAGTGAAATAAAAGCTGAAAAATAAAGAACAAGAAAGTGTCTTACCTTTTCTTGCAGAAGAGCGGGATTACTGAGGATGTTCTCATTCACTTCAATCAGCCGCCCTCGTATGCAACTGCAAAAGCGTTCAGATTCTGTAGATGTGTGTGGTATGGCAAGGCAAGGAAAAAATGGGAAAAACCTTACCTGTAAATTGTGTATTCCTCTCCATCTGTTGAAGATATCCTGCACAGAGGGGCAAGTTCTGTTAAAAACTGAGCTCCCTGCATTTGGAAAATAAACAAACATGTCTGTAGTTTTAATTGCACAGGACTTGTAAAAGTATTGCCATCAGCAGTGTCTGAAAGGAAAGGATGTGTGATAGTTATAGGTCATTCCCAGTTCCAGAGCTGTGCTTCCCTATAGAAGGGAAGATGCCAACTTAGTTATGTGCACAAATCAAATAAAAGCTTGTTACAAGCTTACAGATTTAGATTTAATTAATTTCTTGCAGACTAGCAAACTTGTGTTCTTATGAGACTGAAGTCAGAGGAGAGAGGAGAGGAACAGCACCTTTCATTTTGGTGTTTGCTTACTTAAAGTGTACCTTCAAAAACCCACCACACTGAACTGGCCCATCTATATCTAGTCTCCAAATCCTTTACATCTTCTTGGAAATAAGTTTTTATTATTTCAGGGATGTTTATGTCCCTCTGTACAGTACCAAAAAAGTGTGTTTGAACAGCATTGGAAACCACCAGTGCTGTAGGAGCACTGCAAGACCCTTGCTGGGACAGGCAGACAGGCACCTCTTGAGGAAGTCTAAATTCTTCAAGTGCAGAGGGGCTGGTTTTAAATGAAATACAAAAGTAACCTGCTGGGTTTCTATCCAAGAAAAGACAGAAAGATCTCAGGGAGTGTGAGAGATTAAAATGAAAACTAAGGAAATCAAAAAGCCATACCCTTTTTGACTTTCCAGAGACCTTATTCTGAAGTCTGCTACAGTTTGCACTGATTTGGTAATTAATGTTTTTAATTGTTTTCCCACTTTGAAGAAGAGGGTGGGCTTCTGCTAAGGTGATGACACAGATTCTGAAAAAAAAACAACAACAGAACACCACAATTATTCCACTGTAGTTGTAAGCCACAGCTTTGTGCTCTAAGCAAGTCCCACAACCTTCTCTGCCTATCTTACTTGACACCTGCCCTACCAAACTGAACAAAAATGGCATTCTGTCCTAAAGCCACTCCCATGGAAAATGTTTCATTTTGAGATACTGGACTGGACTGTCAAAAGCCCTACACTTCTTACTGAAACAAAACCACTGCTTTTAAATAAGCCAGTGCTGTAAGCCATCTGTTATACCCCATGAGAGCATGGTTGGTTCATTTCAGCCAGTAGCTGAAGTAGGTACTTGGGATAAGACAAGTAAAGCATGGTGTACTTCTGTCACAAAATGTAACAGAAAACAGGGTTTCTCAACAGCTAAAAGTCCTTTGTGGTGAACAGCTGAGTAATCTTTCCATGACCTGGGCCTTAGTTAACTTGCTGCTTGCACTTAATTTTTTATTAAAGGAGGTTATTTCTTACCATGACATGGGACAGTTTGAGATGAGCCCAGCTGAAGAGACTAGGCCTGCCTGGCCTAGAACCATGCCTAATGCACAAGCATGAACTTGCCAGTAAATTAAGAGAGTGGAAGCTCTTCTGTTTGAGAGTATAAAACCTACAGGAAGCACCAGAATCAAAAGAAGAGTGACTGCAGAGAAAACCAGGGCACAGAACCAGATCGCTCCCTGTGGATGCTGTATCCATCTCCTCACACTCCTGGGGAGTTCTGGCTGCAGAGCTCCCACAAGAGGGAGCTGGATCCTGGAGAACGTATCCAGCATGTCCTAGCAGCAAAGCTACTTCCTTCACCCCAGCCTCCTTCTAAGGGGAAGATGACAAATTATCTTTGAGCTGTCACCTGATGGAGCTGAGACCTCGTAAAACAAAACATCAAGAGACAACTTCACACTGCCTAGGAACAGCAAACAGAGCCACAGCCCCACACATAATAATGGTAAAATACTTTACAGAACTGGCTAAGCTGCTGTGGAACCCAAGGGTCCTGATATTTCAGAATTCAAAGTAGCAGAACAGTCTTCACAGACAATTGAACAAATCAGTGGGATTTAAACTACTGTTTATACCAGACACCTGAGATTAGTAACCTTATATTTAGTATTCAGTACAAATGGAAGGATGTCCTACCTTGCTGTTACTGTCACACCTGTTATTTGAAGGTACACTAATTTCCCTTTTGGAAGAACTGAGGAAGAACTGCAGGAAACAGCCACAGAGAAGCTCCAACTCCAAAGGCTGCAGTGAGGTGATGGTTCTGCCCTGTGCCACGCATACCTTCCTTTTACTCTAAATTCCTAGAGCCGGCAACTCACTGGGAACACAAATACTGCCTCACCTTTCCTCAACCCATGAGCCACTGGCCCTGCTAGTTTTTGCATGGACAGTAGTTAGGTTCTGTTCTCTCTGAGACAGAGCACTCCAGAAATGCACCCGATGCCCTAATGGGCTGCAGCAGGGGGAGGTAAGGTATGGAAGGAGACTCCACATCAGGTACAGGTTGATTTACTCCAAGTAACTGGATATCCAGCTACATCCAAGCAAAAGCAAGACACTTTTCCTATCTTGCCTTCACTGTCGGTTACTGCACAAGAAAAAGCAATTAAGTTTTATCTAGAAAAAGATGAACGTTTGTTCAAACTGAAGGATTTCTAAATCAAGTTAAACAGACTCCTTCAAAATGTCATTAGGGAAAGGCCTTTTGGAACGTTTCTCTTCTGCTACTGATGATCACAGAATCAATTAGGTTAGAAAAGTCCAGCCTACGACCGAACACCACCGTGCCAAGTACAGCACGGCACTGAGCACCACGTCCAGTGTTTCCATGAACACCCCCAGGGATGGTGTACGGGGCCCTTTCGCAGGAGGGAGCAAGGGAGCGAGGGCAGCACCGCGGACACTGCTGGGCAGTACGGGGGGTGTGGGGGCCGGCGGGGGGAAGAGGCCAAGGCTCCTGCTTCTCACTGGAGCAGTAATGAAAGGACGGGGAGGCCGATTTGCCCGGTGCTGTGTCCCAGGCCAACCCTCTCGTGTCCCGGCTGCCGCAGCCACCGCGGCTCTCTCCGGGCGCAGCCCGACTCGGCAGCCGCCGCCACTCGCCTGTTGGAGTGCTGCAGCACGCAGAAGTCCTCGCACGGCCGCCCCTTCACGTCTGCAAGAAGGGCACAGAGAGGAGTCAGGGCCCCGCCGCCACCCCGGCCCGGCCCGGCCCGGCCCGGCGGTACCTGGCTTGTACCAGCGGGTGAAGTACCGCTCGGCGCCGCCCGGCCCCGCAGCCATGCCCGCCCCGGCGCGCCAAGATGACGGCGGGGGCGGCCCCGGCGGCGGCGGCCCCGGCAGCGCTCGCCCCGCCCCGGCAGCGCCCGCCCCGCCCCGGCAGCGCTCGCCCCGCCCCGGCGGCGCCCGGCCCGCCCCGGCAGCGCCCGCCCCGCCCCGGCAGCG